TACATAACTGTGACCGCTTGTATGTATGTGGTACATAACTGTGACCGCTTGTAGGTATGTGGTACATAACTGTGACCGCTTGTAGGTGTGTGGTACATAACTGTGACCGCTTGTAGCTATGTGGTACATAACTGTGACCCGTGTCTTGGCTGTATTTGTAGATCAGGTCGGCTGCCTCACACCTGGGGTTGGGCGTTGTTCTCTATATCAACCGCTTGTTTGTTAAATATGAGTGAGTGAGTGAGTGAGTATGGTTTTACGCCGCTTTTATTAATACTCCAGCAATATTACGGCGCGGGGACACCAGAAATGGTTAGATATGATGCAATATTGGCGACAACAGTGTAGTGCAGGCAACGGAGCGAAACGTCACAAACTCCGACTATCCATGTATTTCACTGTGTGTGGATTTTTACTTTATTATCAACTCCACTCCATTTTTTGTATAAGAAGCTGTACTGAAATTACTTTACATCAACACGAGTAGCTCCGGCTCATACCGTCACACCAGTGGCCCATGGATGGAGCTTTTCACATTTTCTTAGAAACAAAACTAATATCTCACCTTTATAATCTTCTTTCACATTTCTAAATATGATCGTCAACACATACGCACAAAACGTGTTAAGGAGAGAAAACAAATTAGATTCACTCAATTGAGACTGCCCTCCCTCTGAAGCGCACATAAAATCTCTAGTCCGTACAACGTTCCTACACTCTTTGTAAAAGTGAACACAATGTGATCAGTCGTGGTAATAATTCCAGGATCGTGTTAACATTTCATCCCATTGCGTGCCACGTCCATAGACGACGACGAGTTGAATGATTTTACGTCGGCTTTTGGCGGGTGCCAAAATTGGCACGGCCATAGACGACCGGCCTTGTGTTTGAGTATTGGAGTGTATATGACCTTGACCCTAACATTCAGTTATCCGTAAGTGACAGCTTGGCTAACTGTCAGCATGGGAAGCTTCTTTGAGTGGCATTTTAAAAGTCGGGTAGTACAATATATACCACACTTTATGGATAACAACTTTTTTTTATTCGTGAATTCCGACAGCAAATCAGCCATTTCCGACCACATCAAAGCAAGCCCCAATCATCAAATAGACTGGTCTGACATCACCATTCTCTCCAACAAACAAACAGACTTCACTAAACGCAAGCCATCAACCGAGACCAAGGATACTTCATTCCATCCGCTTATGATGCACTCATCCACCAAGCCCAATCTACTGTATAAACTCTGCTGTATAAACATCTCATTATTATTTGTACATCATTGGCTGCCACGCCTGTCCTTTGTCTACTCTCTGGCTTCATCAGCTTTCTGCCTAGCCAATTATGTTGATTATGTTGTTTTCTTTGTTACATTGTTACATCCAGTATATATATACTTCCCCCTTCTTCATGTTACATTATGCTTGACAATGGTACAAGAATCTGTATCGAAACGTCGCACTCACGAATAAAAAGAAGTTGTTATCCATAAAGTGTGTTCTATATAGCATGGGAAAGATGAATGATCTAAAAGCCGAACAGTTTCGATTTTGACGGCCTGTAACAGATCGAATCTGGACCAGACAAACCCGTGATACACAGCGACAAAACCCTTCTAGCCACGAACATACTGTTACATTTACACTGTGTCATGTTTCTCTCCATCATCCCATCCAAACATCATCGACCCGTGAAGGTCCGGGTTAGAATTGATCTTCAGTAACCCATGCTTGTCGTAAGAGGCGACTAACGGGATCGGGTGGTCAGGCTCTCTGACTTGGTTGACACATGTCATCGGTTCCCAATTGCGTAGATCGATGCTAATGTTGTTGATCACTGGATTGTCTGGTCCAGACTCGATTATTTACAGACCGCCGCCATATAGCTGGAATATTGCTGAGTGCGAACCATATAAAAAGATAAAAAGATAGGTAGCGAAGTGTGCGCGCTTTACAGAAGCCAGTCCACGCCACTCAGTTGCCCTATCCTGTCTGTTGATGATGTGTATTTAAAGATGGACTGAGCCAGAGTAAAAACTATGTGAGTATAACTTGGTGTTGCGTTTATCTATGAATGTATGTGGGCCAGTACATGAATGTTATGTGGCTAGTTGGGAGTCACGGTCGTCCGACCCCTCACTCCTGGACTGCAACGGACCAAGCGAGTGGAGCGCCAGAGATACCCTCTCCCAGAAATATGTGGAACGACCATAATTAATAGGTGGTAGGTTTTACTGAAGCCCAAACGCCAGTTACGACAATACCCTGCAACAGTTAAGCATGAATACCCCACTCAGACACATTATACTGACTCCGAGCCGACCAGTCCTTGTTGTACCCATTAATCCCGAGCGACAGGCAGGGACCAACAAGTTCCATATTCTAACGTATTTTGGTATGACGCGGTCGGGGATCGAACCCGCGACCGTCCGCAATCCCGGCGGACGCTCTAACCGAGACGTGCTGGACTAACAAAAGACTATCCTTTGAGAAACACAGGAATACTGGGTGTACGTCTTGTACAGGGAAGTCGTAGATTAGTCAGCTCATCAAAGAATGCATTAAACTTATCTTCAAAGAACGACGTCATGAAACGAATTAGTAGCACATGAAAGACGACGTTGTGTAAACATTATAAGCGTCGTGTTTGACAGAGGAAATCTATCACGTCATCAAATAGCCGTCAGTTCATAAACACGTCCACGCCACTCGCTGTTGCTCACTTCCTACACAAACTATCATCAACAATTATGCTCTCACGTTTTGTCATTTGTGATATGTTGATCCTGTTATAACTTTGTACGACACCTGAAATAATGCAATACGGCATCCCGTAGGGAGAGCCGTTAACACCGGCGATAAACGCCGCAGGTACATACTTTGATGTTCTCTCCCTGACTCCGACTCGCCTCCCGACATGTCTAAAATACCTGTACAGGAACCACCTGCTTCCCTCCACCGCTAGCGTATGGTCTGCTGGCTTCGTAGAATGAATGCTATGTTTAACCTTTAAAAAACACCAGGAGCGGAGTTCAGTATCTTCAGTAGCCCATGCTTGTCGAGCGAGGCGACTAACGGGATCGGGCGGTCAGGCTCGTTGGCTTGGTTCACGCATGTTGACAATCGTACCCCAATTGCGTCGATCGATGTTCATGATGTTGATCACTGGATTGTCTGGTCAAGACTCGACTATATACAGACTGCCGCCATATAGCTGGAATAGTGTGGCGTTAAACAACAAACACACAAAAAGTTAAACCTACCAACCACCCACAATGTCAGACGGTTGTGTATGTACCTAACACGTGTGTCCACCTGTCAGCGTGGTGCCGACAAACCAACACAGTTTACTCCGGCGTTCTGTAACCTGTTGCCGCTCACGGAGTTAAACCTACCAACCACCCAAAATGTCAGACGGTTGTGTAAACCTAACACGTGTGTCCACCTGTCAGCGTGGTGCCGGCAAACCAACACAGTTTACTCCGGCGTTCTGTAACCTGTTGCCGCTCAGGGAGTCGGAGCAGTGTGGGACATGTGTCCTGTACATCAGCCACATCCAACAGTGGTTGTTCTGACAACTGGACTTTACAATTACCCTGACCTATACCCTCCAAACCCCTCAGGGGATCCAAGCCTTCAGCCTGAGATAACATTAACAACGACAAGGACTGCATTTCAGTTGTTTATTATACACAATACAAATCAATACTAAATATCTAAAATAGCCTAGTACATCAGATTACAAAGAGCTGGGAGCACTCCCAGCACAGGCATGTACATGTCATGGACTAGTCTGTCTCACAGTCCCTGAACCACATTATTTTCCCCACAGCCTAGCCTTCCCTGCAGTGCTAAAGCCCTAAATGAAGCAAGTCTAGATTTCCCCAGGTTCAGGGTCTGTTAGCATCTGAATATCTGGTCTCCTTTGGGCTCCCTTTCAGTTAATAATAGGTTTGTTTGTTACTATCAAACTTATATCTATTCAGAGACTAAGCATTAGCCTAGTCTTGGACTAGCGGGCGGGCTGGCTGGCCCGTCAGAGTTACCTCCCTTGACAGGACGCCAGCTCAACAAACATCTCCAAATACACAACCTGAATAGCTCGGACATTGCTGGTGAATTTAAAACAGAGTTCACTGAAGACCTGCAATCAAACAGTGAATGTAAAGAAACTGGTTCGTCATTTAACCTGTGGCTAATAAAATGTTCAGCAAAATTCAAGTGAAGATCAAATCATGGGACCTCTCTCTGAGGTCCGTCTGCCTGGAACCCTCCATATCAGGAGCTGGCCAGTCTACCCCGGTGTCTACTTGATGTATTTACAACATTCTCATTCAGCTTTAGTGTTTGTATTTTCGCTGTCAGACATACATTTTGCAATAGCGGAACTCATTAATTCTATGACGAACAGTTCTTAAAACTTTAAAAACTTTACTCAGGTATATAAAAGAGCATATTATTATCCAAGATGTTTTCTAGTTTATCTTGGTAGTCCATAAACTGTTCATGAAAACTCTGACCCAATATTCATATTCTAATTCTATAGCGGTTTATCAAACACCGACAGGTAGTATTTCTCAGCTAGAATTGTGATGTCAAGAATTAAGGGTAAACATCATCCCAGACACAGGCTACAGGACATACTGTGATATACAACAAATACACTGTATCATTGTACAGCAGTTCACACAACCATGTTGTTCCATTACAAAGTGTGCACATCCGGATAAATGTTTGTTATCTAAGAAATATTTCACTAAAAATAGTCTCAAAATCTTTTGACTAGAAAATTTCATCTCATTCCTGAGGTAAAATATAAAATTTGACAATTTACAAAATACAAGTCGGATAGTTTGATAATGATGGAAGCACAATATCACATGACCCTGATCGATGCTGTCCGAAATACAACAAATACTTATATCCAAACTTTAAAAAAACTTCCAAGGCCTTATTCAGGTTCAAATGTTTTATGAAATAAATGATATCATGATTTTTTAAACAAAATAATGTAAGTATAAAATATAAAGGTCTAAAATAATAAATATATTATGAATGGAAACATTCTACACAACTGTTATATTGTTCTCTCCTGCAAGGAACCAACAGCAGCAAATCAACATTTAATGTTAAATCATAAAGTCGGTTTATGAAAATAAAACAATTTTTTTCACAACAAATAATGACAACGTAATACGGAAAAAAGAGTTGATTTTTGTAATTTGGGTGTTAACATTAAAATTAAAATTAAAATCAGATTAAAAGAAAAAGAGGTGACCTTCAGAAGGAAAGCATGATGGGCGGAGTAATCTCATCGCTCTGTGACTAGAGGTGTGACAGAAGACAGCTAGCATCATCGTGGAACATAACGTCTGATAATCTAACATAAGATATGACCGCTAATAGTTCTGCAGCGTGTATAACAGATATATGATGATGAATATATGTACATATATTACCATAGCAACCATCAGGGGGACAAGTCAATCAAGACGACACAATGACACAAAGGCTTTTCAAAACCTTCAACAATTACAAAAAGTAGCAGAATATATTTTGAGAAAATCCAGTTGTACCACACCAGTAATATTCCAGAATTTGGTGAAGTAGTTTTGTCACACAAAAGGAAGCACCATTATGAATTCATATTTCTGCACTAAAATGGCAGAGATCATTTGAAATGAAACCGCAAGGACACATTTAACTTCCATTTCCTGTTTTTCCCACGTGTCTTGATCCTCCTAATGAATGTTGACACATTGTATCGACACAGCCAGCATGGTGTGTAACACAATGTGTTAATGGGTGGGATGTAATCTCTCTGGTATATATTATCATGGTGACCGACATATTCCCCAGTGTTTACACCCGGGTGGCTGGGATAAAACAGTGATATCACCCCGGCCACCGTATCCTAGGTTACCCAGTGTATAACCTCCACAGTATTAGTGTATAACCTCCACAGTGTTAGTGTATAACCCCCACAGTGTCAGTGTATAACCCCCCAGTGTCAGTGTATAACCCCCCAGTGTCAGTGTATAACCCCTAGTGTCAGTGTATAACCCCAGTGTCAGTGTATAACCCCCAGTGTCAGTGTATAACCCCCCCAGTGTCAGTGTATAACCCCAGTGTCAGTGTATAACCCCAGTGTCAGTGTATAACCCCGAGTGTCAGTGTATAACCCCGCAGTGTCAGTGTATAACCCCCAGTGTCAGTGTATAACCCCAGTGTCAGTGTGTCATGTATAACCCCAGTGTCAGTGTATAACCCCACAGTATATACCCCCACAGTGTCAGTGTATATAACCCCCACAGTGTCAGTGTATAACCCCACAGTGTCAGTGTATAACCCCACAGTGTCAGTGTATAACCCCCACGGTGTCAGTGTATAACCCCAGTGTCAGTGTCCCCCACAGTGTCAGTGTATAACCCCACAGTGTCAGTGTATAACCCCAGTGTCAGTGTATAACCCCCAGTGTCAGTGTATAACCCCCAGTGTCAGTGTATAACCCCACAGTGTCAGTGTATAACCCCACAGTGTCAGTGTATAACCCCACAGTGTCAGGTGTATAACCCCAGTGTCAGTGTATAACCCACAGTGTCAGTGTATAACCCCCACAGTGTCAGTGTATAACCCCCACAGTGTCAGTGTATAACCCCACAGTGTCAGTGTATAACCCCACAGTGTCAGTGTATAACCCCACAGTGTCAGTGTATAACCCCCACAGTGTCAGTGTATAACCCCACAGTGTCAGTGTATAACCCCACAGTGTCAGTGTATAACCCCCACAGTGTCAGTGTATAACCCCCACAGTGTCAGTGTATAACCCCCACAGTGTCAGTGTATAACCCCCACAGTGTCAGTGTATAACCCCACAGTGTCAGTGTATAACCCCACAGTGTCAGTGTATAACCCCCACAGTGTCAGTGTATAACCCCCACAGTGTCAGTGTATAACCCACACAGTGTCAGTGTATAACCCCCACAGTGTCAGTGTATAACCCCCACAGTGTCAGTGTATAACCCCACAGTGTCAGTGTATAACCCCCACAGTGTCAGTGTATAACCCCACAGTGTCAGTGTATAACCCCACAGTGTCAGTGTATAACCCCCACAGTGTCAGTGTATAACCCCACAGTGTCAGTGTATAACCCCACAGTGTCAGTGTATAACCCCACAGTGTCAGTGTATAACCCCACAGTGTCAGTGTATAACCCCACAGTGTCAGTGTATAACCCCACAGTGTCAGTGTATAACCCCACAGTGTCAGTGTATAACCCCACAGTGTCAGTGTATAACCCCACAGTGTCAGTGTATAACCCCACAGTGTCAGTGTATAACCCCACAGTGTCAGTGTATAACCCCACAGTGTCAGTGTATAACCCCACAGTGTCAGTGTATAACCCCACAGTGTCAGTGTATAACCCCACAGTGTCAGTGTATAACCCCACAGTGTCAGTGTATAACCCCCACAGTGTCAGTGTATAACCCCCACAGTGTCAGTGTATAACCCCCACAGTGTCAGTGTATAACCCCCACAGTGTCAGTGTATAACCCCCACAGTGTCAGTGTATAACCCCCACAGTGTCAGTGTATAACCCCCACAGTGTCAGTGTATAACCCCCACAGTGTCAGTGTATAACCCCCACAGTGTCAGTGTATAACCCCTAAAGATTGTGAAATTGTCGGCCACCACTACCACATTACAAGCACAGACAATGTTTTCAATCCAACAGTAGAAAAGGACGTCTATACACTTGCTTTCGTCACCATGAAGTAAGCAAGAATTGCTCACATGCTCAACAGAAGCTCCTTCCATTTGACTCAGATTTGACAGATGAAATCTCAGTCCATCCCAAACAGAAGCCAATCAACGTCAGGAGCACAGAAAGGCAACAAGTTTCACGTTGTCATCGGCAATGGGGAGATACTGGTAGCAATCTCAATGTTGCTGCTATCTTCAGAGAGTAATCTCCACAGACTTTACATCACCATGATAACATGTTCTCAGCATATGACACATGATGATGTTACCATGGTTACAGTAGTTCCAGATTCCATCAGTCATCAAGCTTGAAACACAGTGGAGACAAAGTATTGCTTCACTTTGTGGTGTGAATACATTGTTCAAAAATTCCCCCAAATCTGACATTTGGCTACATTTTCCCAAAGTTATAACACAACCAAGTTTAACGGGTGATAATCCACACAACACTTCATGTTGCCCTGGGTATTGAGTGTGAAGATCACATGGCGTGACACGGTACATACAAAACAAGATTACACGATCCCAGTATACAGCGCTACACATGCTCAGTTACAAAATGTAAGAAAGAAAATGTTATAAGAATATCTCATAAGTAAAAATAAAGTATCAACTTGATGATGTGTATACAAATGATGACGGGAGTACTGAATGCTGGTCAGTGGAAAATGATGACGTGAGTGTAAATAACATGAAAAATATGACACCATATGTCACACGATGTACAAACAGGCGAACATCTGGAGAAATATCAGACAACTTTAACACAGACAAATGTCGTATAGGAAATGCAGTGGAAGATTAGATCTGTGACATCTGTTGTTGCATACCACTAAAATCCTCCAGGTCCTTCTCTTATGTTTGTGTAGTATATGTGGGGATATGCAGGTGTGGGCGTTACCGCCGCCACCACAGGTCCAGAGTCGGAGTAGTATATGTGAGGATATGCAGGTGTGGGCGTTACTGCCGCCACCACAGGTCCAGAGTCGGACAGGACACAGCTGCTTCCACTTTCAGCTGTGACCGTGTCATGACTGTGTTCTGCATGTACACCGTGTGAGTGGCAAAACTGTGTTGTGATACAGCACCAGAGGCATAACACCAGTGTGACACCAGGACTGAACACCAGTGTGACACCAGGACTGAACACCAGTGTGACACCAGGACTCAACACCAGTGTGACACCAGCACTCAACACCAGTGTGACACCAGGTCTCAACACCAGTGTGACACCAGGTCTTGACACCAGCACTTAACACCAGTGTGACACCAGCACTCAACACCAGTGTGACACCAGGTCTTGACACCAGCACTTAACACCAGTGTGACACCAGCACTCAACACCAGTGTGACACCAGGTCTCAACACCAGTGTGACACCAGCACTCAACACCAGTGTGACACCAGGTCTCAACACCAGTGTGACACCAGCACTCAACACCAGTGTGACACCAGGACTCAACACCAGTGTGACATCAGGTCTTGACACCAGCACTTAACACCAGTGTGACACCAGGTCTAAACACCAGCACTTAACACCAGTGTATCACCAGCACTTAACACCAGGACTCAACACCAGCACTTAACACCAGTGTGACACCAGCACTTAACACCAGTGACACCAGGTCTCAACACCAGCACTTAACACCAGTGTGACACCAGCACTTAACACCAGTGACACCAGGTCTCAACACCAGCACTTAACACCAGTGTGACACCAGCACTTAACACCAGCATAACACATGGGCAACACCTGGTCTTAACACCAGTGTGACACCAGCAGATAACACCAGCACTTAACACTGTTTCGCTCGAGTCAGAGCATCTCCTTGTCCTCCACGCACAACAAGACGCAATGGGTGTTGTCTAGACACCTGGTGCCAAGTCCGTCCTAAAAACACATGATCATAAGTGGGTCCACGACCAGAAAATAGTGGCCAAGATTTTCCATTGGTATATTGACCACACCAACTGTGTGCATTTACAGTGAAAACTTCAGGTGTTTAGATAAATACAGGTAGCACTGACTTGATGTGCGTTAAAAGTCTGGAGATGTCTGTGTATTTTCACAACAAAATGACATTCCAGTATACTTTGGGCTTGATAAAACATCAAATTTCTGTTAAAATTAGTCTCAAAAACTATATTTTTGTTAGTTGTTGGAAGAAAATAATCCCTGTTGCAGTGGAAGGCAGCCAAGATGACAAAGGTCAAATGAATTCTCAAATTTGCCCTCCTGACCTTGACCTGTTGACCTTGACCTACATGTTGCCACCTCAGCATGAGTAGTCATCCGCGCGTCCCACACAGAAGTACAGGACGCTGGAGATGAGGGACATCCCCGCCGCGCCAACAGCGCACCAGAAGCTCCAGCTGAAGAGAGGGTCCACTGTGTTGGCCTCTGCCATTACTCGCGCCCTGTTGTCCATGTGGGCCTTCGCTCCGAACACGCAGACACCCGCAGCCAGAAGCAGGACTAAAACAAGAGGAGACAGAAGTTGTGTGTAACTGTTGAACTTACATGGCAATAGTGAGTGAGTAAATTAGTTCAGTTTTATGCCGCTTTTAACAATATTCCAGCAATTACAAGTTACATGGAGATATATAACTGCTAAATATACATGGTGATACATCACCAGGTTTAAGATGTGGTCCCTGGTGTACCTACAGGTGAGGTTGTGGTTAACCTACAGGTGAGGTTGTGGTGTACCTACAGGTGAGGTGGTGGTTAACTTACAGGTGAGGTTGTGGTGTGCTTACAGGTGAGGTTGAGGTGTGATTACAGATGAGGTTTAGGTGTGATTACAGATGAGGTTGAGGTGTGATTACAGGTGAGGTTTAGGTATGATTACAGATGAGGTTGAGGTGTGATTACAGGTGAGGTTGAGCTGTGCTTACAGGTGAGGTTGAGGTGTACCTACAGGTTAGGTTGAGGTGTGATTACAGGTGAGGTTGAGGTGTGCTTACAGATGAGGTTGAGGTGTGATTACAGATGAGGTCTAGGTGTGCTTACAGATGAGGTTGAGGTGTGATTACAGATGAAGTTTAGGTGTGCTTACAGATGAGGTCCAGGTGTGTTTACAGATGAGGTTGAGGTGTGATTACAGGTGAGGTTGAGGTGTGATTACAGTTGAGGTTTAGGTGTGATTACAGGTGAGGTTGAGGTGTGATTACAGATGATGAGGTGTGATGACAGGTGAGGTTGAGGTGTGATTACAGGTGAGGTTTAGGTGTGATTACAGGTGAGGTTGAGGTGTGACTACAGATGAGGTTGAGGTGTGATTACAGGTGAGGTTGAGGTGTGATTACAGGTGAGGTTTAGGTGTGATTACAGGTGAGGTTGAGGTGTGATTACAGATGAGGTTGAGGTGTGATTACAGTTGAGGTTTAGGTGTGCTTACAGATGAGGTCCAGGTGTGATTACAGATGAGGTCGAGGTGTGTTTACAGATGAGGTTGAGGTGTGATTACAGTTGAGGTTGAGGAGTGATTACAGATGAGATTTAGGTGTGATTACAGGTGAGGTTGAGGTGTGATTACAGTTGCGGTTTAGGTGTGATTACAGATGATGTTGAGCTGTGCTTACAGGTGAGGTTGAGGTGTACCTGTAAACAGGTTAGGTTGAGGTGTGATTACAGGTGAGGTTGAGGTGTGATTACAGGTGAGGTTGAGGTGTGATTACAGGTGAGGTTGAGGTGTGATTACAGATGAGGTTGAGGTGTGATTACAGATGAGGTTTAGGTGTGCTTACAGATGAGGTCGAGGTGTGATTACAGATGAGGTTGAGGTGTGTTTACAGATGAGGTTGAGGTGTGATTACAGTTGAGGTTGAGGTGTGATTACAGTTGAGGTTTAGGTGTGATTACAGATGAGGTTGAGGTGTGATTACAGATGATGTTGAGGTGTGATTACAGGTGAGGTTGAGGTGTGATTACAGGTGAGGTTTAGGTGTGATTACAGGTGAGGTTTAGGTGTTACAGATTACAGATGTGGGTGAGGTTGAGTGTGATTACAGATGATGTTGAGGTGTGATTACAGGTGAGGTTGAGGTGTGATTACAGGTGAGGTTTAGGTGTGATTACAGGTGAGGTTTAGGTGTGATTACAGATGAGGTTGAGGTGTGATTACAGGTGAGGTTGAGGTGTGATTACAGGTGAGGTTGAGGTGTGATTACAGGTGAGGTTTAGGTGTGATTACAGATGAGGCTGAGGTGTGATTACAGATGAGGTTTAGGTGTGATTACAGGTGAGGTTGAGGTGTGATTACAGGTGAGGTTTAGGTGTGATTACAGGTGAGGTTTAGGTGTGCTTAAAGGTGAGGTTGAGGTGTGATTACAGATGAGCTTTAGGTGTGATTACAGATGAGGTTCAGGTGTGATTACAGGTTAGGTTTAGGTGTGATTACAGATGAGGTTGAGGTGTGATTACAGATGAGGTTGAGGTGTACCTACAGGTGGATTACAGATGAAGTTGAGGTGTACCTACAGGTGAGATTGTGGTGTAGGTACAGGTAAGGTTGGGGATTACATACAGGTAAGGTTGTGGTATACCTACAGGTAAGGTTGGGGATTACATACAGGTGAGGTTGTGGTATACCTACAGGTAAGGTTGGGGATTACATACAGGTGAGGTTGTGGTATACCTACAGGTAAGGTTGGGGATTACTTACAGGTGAGGTTGTGGTATACCTACAGGTGAAGTTGAGGTGTAGATACTGGTGAGATTGTGGTGTAGGCACAGGTAAGGTTGGAGATTACATACAGGTATGGTTGTGGTATACCTACAGGTGAGGTTGAGGTGTAGATACAGGTGAGATTGTGGTGTAGATACAGGTAAGGTTGGAGATTACTTACAGGTGAGGTTGATGAAAGCTCCAGCAGCCTGATGGGGGTTGCAGCACTTGCAGCTGCAGCACAGGGAGAAGAGGCCGATGAAGAGGGAGATGAGAGCACATGCCACGGCACAGGACATGAGACCCTGAACAGCCTTGAACCAGTCTGAAACAAACACACCACACATGAGACCCTGAACAACCTTGAACCAGTCTGAAACAAACACACCACACGTGAGACCCTGAACAGCCTTGAACCAGTCTGAAACAAACACACCACACATGAGACCCTGAACAGCCTTGAACCAGTCTGAAACAAACACACCACACATGAGGCCCTGAACAGCCTTGAACCAGTCTGAAACAAACACACCACATGTGAGACCCTAAACAGCCTTGAACCAGTCTGAAACAAACACACCACACGTGAGACCCTGAACAGCCTTGAACCAGTCTGAAACAAACACACCACATGTGAGACCCTGAACAGCCTTGAACCAGTCTGAAACAAACACACCACATGTGAGACCCTGAACAGCCTTGAACCAGTCTGAAACAAACACACCACACATGAGACCCTGAACAGCCTTGAACCAGTCTGAAACAAACACACCACACATGAGGCCCTGAACAGCCTCGAACCAGTCTGAAACAAACACCACACGAGACCCTATCAACAACATGAACCTCATTCTACGGAAAATTGGGATACGATGACATGTGTCAACCAAGTCAGCAAGTCTGGCCACCAGATCCCCACGTTGCCTTATACAACAAGCAGGGGTTACTGAAGACCCAATTCTAACCCCGATCTTCATATGTTAAAAAATCAAAAGATAAAAGGAGATTGTTACAGATTGTTATTTTCAACTTCGTTATTGCAATGAGTGCAATGAGTGCAATAAAGAAGTTGACTGTCCATAGAACTTAGTTTTCTTTCATCTTCACAACTTCTAAAATGCCTCTCACAGAACTCAGCATGGGATCAGCCCAGTATTGAGTTCAGAAGAATATATAAAGTATCCCTTCAATCATTTCATGCGAACGAAGGGTGATGAACCTGGCCATATAAATGCGACTGACTGACTGAGTTTGGTTTTACTACGCTTTTAGCAATATTCCAGCAACATCACGGCAGGGGACACCAGAAATGGGCTTCACACATTGTACCCATGTGGGGATTCGAACTCGGGTCATTGGCATGGCCAGCCAACGCTTTAACCACTAGGCTACCCTACCGCCCCATATAAATGAGAAATTTGACCATAAATGATAATACTTATTTCATCAGAAGCCATTTTTCTGTTCCCAACATATTTCACATAATGACCATGATGTAAATATGTAACCAATGATATAAACATTATTGACCATGATGTAAATATGTAACCAATGATAAAAAAAAAACATTATTGACCACGATGTAAATATGTAACCAATGATATAAACATTATTGACCATGATGTAAATATGTAACCAATGATATAAACATTATTGACCATGATGTAAATATGTAACCAATGATATAAACATTATTGACCATGATGTAAATATGTAACCAATGATATAAACATTATTGACCATGATGTAAATATGTAACCAATATGTATTGACCATGATGTCCAATGATATAAACATTATTGACCATGATGTAAATATCAATGATATAAACATTATTGACATATAAATATGAACCAATGATATAAACATTACTGACCATGTAAATATGTAACCAATGATATAAACACCATGATGTAAATATGTAACCAATGATATAAACATTATTGACCATGATGTAAATATGTAACCAATGATATAAACATTATGACCATGAAAATAGTAACCAATGATATAAACATTATTGACCATGATGTAAATATGTAACCAATGATATAAACATTATTGACCATGATGTAAATATCAACGTATAATGGTAGTCTGCATTAGTTTGTGGGTTGAACCACAGGTAGGTGTTTGTGGGTTGAACCAATGCTGCAATAGCCGGCCTTCTTGATAGTGAATCTCTTCACAGCTGTGACAGACTGCTGGGAAAGTTCCTGGACAATTTGTTCCTCAGTCATGTCAGACAGGCACCGAACTCTGTCCCGTACAATGCCTCTACACCTGTTCAGTGTTTTGTGCGCTGAGACAGCAACCTTTACATTGACAAACTCTTGTAATTTCAGTAGATTCAAGGATTGCTGTCTCCGAGCACATTCTACAAGGAGAGAACCAGACCAGAGCTTTGTGACATTGGCAACCTCTCCGCAGATACCAGCTATACCCTTGGAGACTGCAAATGGGTTCAATTGCAAAGATTGCTTGTCACAAGCTTCGATGATGAATAAACGTGGCCAGTAATCGGGTCGAATGGGCGTACTCTCGTCAGACGAGGAATTGTCAGAGTCCATATGTCTTCGTTTTGAACCAGGGTATTGGGAAGCCATGTCGTTAGGATATGTAGTTCAGCATCCCCTCTCCCAAACAATACTGACCATGATGTAAATATGTAACCAGCGTTGGATACAGGGTAGGGATTTGAAAAACAAACATGGCGGCTGTCCGGTAAGTAGGACACAACACTGTATTTCGCCTAATTGAAAATTCAAATTCACTGTCTGGATATTTTATCAACTGAATTTGTAGACAAATTTTAAGCACTCTGTATTTACTTTCAGTTTCAGATTGTCCAGTAGATGACGTTCTGTTTGTCTAGGGTCTGGACATGTGGGCTGCCACTGAATCTGGAGGAGGATAACCAAGCATCTAGTGCCTGAGAGTGTGATAACCAAGCATCTAGTGCCTGAGAGTGTGATAACCAAGAATCTGGTGCCTGAGAGTGTGATAACCAAGCATCTGGTGCCTGAGAGTGTGATAACCAAGCATCTGGTGCCTGAGAGTGTGATAACCAAGCATCTAGTGCCTGAGAGTGTGATAATCCACACTATCTGACATGAGATCCAGCCTGGGACAAATCTAGAACACTAACCAGGTGTAAGTGGACTCCAAGTAGCCCTGTGGAGGTGAGTCAGCTTGAGATGTGATGTAGAAGATGAACCAAGCAGTAACCCTGTGGAGGTGAGTCAGCTGGAGATGTGATGTAGGAGTGGAGGTGAGTCAGCTGGAGATGTGATGTAGGAGTGGAGGTGAGTCAGCTGGAGATGTGATGTAGGAGTGGAGGTGAGTCAGCTGGAGATGTGATGTAGGAGTGGAGGTGAGTCAGCTGGAGATGTGATGTAGGAGTGGAGGTGAGTCAGCTTGAGATGTGATGTAGAAGATGAACCAAGCAGTAACCCTGTGGAGGTGAGTCAGCTGGAGATGTGATGTAGGAGTGGAGGTGAGTCAGCTGGAGATGTGATGTAGGAGTGGAGGTGAGTCAGCTGGAGATGTGATGTAGGAGTGGAGGTGAGTCAGCTGGAGATGTGATGTAGAAGATGAACCAAGCAGTAACCCTGTGGAGGTGAGTCAGCTGGAGATGTGATGTAGGAGTGGAGGTGAGTCAGCTGGAGATGTGATGTAGGAGTGGAGGTGAGTCAGCTGGAGATGTGATGTAGAAGATGAACCAACCAGTAACAGGCACTGAAGCCAGCTAATGGACGGCCGACTCTGTATCTAGATGATGGAAGATGAGTTTCGTTTTTGCGAACAGCTGATAAAAGATCCTTTGAAGAACAAGAAAATGTCTGACAGATAGAGATGTGTGCTGAGGTGATCACACTGAGTGAGTGAGTTAGTGTGCGTGTGAGAGTGAGTGAGTGAGTTAGTCAGCCAGCCAGTCGATGAGGTGGTTTTGTTGCTGTGTTGAGCAGACATACAGAAGCTGTTCGCATGTAGCGAAAGCCCAGCAGTGTGGACACAGGGCCTCGCAACATGGCGAATGTTGTTATGTTTGCGGAGACTGACACTGTAGCTACTTTAACCTTTCATGACAAATTAACACACAAGCATCTCATCCTCTAACATGGTCTAGATAGCTATCTGGTTGGCAAAGTTTGCTACATATTTTCAACGTCCACAAGCAAATAAAGTCAAGAGACATGAAAGTGTAAAGTATGTTCATATTATTAACAAAACTGCTGAAAAAAAAATGGATTCCGAGATAACTAGTGTTCTCTAAGTATGTACTGTATATTACCGTCTATAAGCCGAATTTTAAGGACCAAAAAAAAAGCAGTCTGTAGAAGGGGGTCGTCTTATCCATGGGTTACGCTTTAGTCAAACTTTTATCCAGGGGTAAGAAAACAACAATGTATCACTTCGCGTGAACAAACAGAAGACGACTTTGTCAGTAGAGACGTCAAATTTGCAATTAAACATCACTAGACAAGATTATTTACCTTTTAAGTTCTAATTTGTTTTTGCTGGGCATTGTATTATTTGCAGGGATTAAGATTACCGTGTGTATCTGAGCCGGAAATAGCAACCAGTTGTGCACGTTTCCCGGCGATCAAGTTCAAACATGCACAATAATATAACGGGACGAATTCTGATGCAGTCGTCAGTAAAATATAATACAGAGTACTATTATTTAACCCACAGATATATATCCTAGCATTGTGTAATTTTAATGACGTTTTTTGCTTTATGAATTATTTAAGATTAAGATTACTATGTGTATTTGAGCCGGAAATAGCAATCAGCAGTTATTTCCACCCATGAAATACCGTAACTCTTTCAGGACACCGACAGCGACTCTCTTGCAAATGAACAAATACTAGTGATCAGAAGTTCATGAATGATAATCAGTATATAATACTCCAACCCCAAACCCTTCGCTCACTAACTTGGCGGTTTTAGCCACTAGGCTACGAAGGATTGCTGAGAAGAGTTAGATTGTTTGTCGGTATGAACCGTGTGTTCCTCGCAAGATGGGTAGCGCGTGCACGGAGCACGTGCATTGCGAGGCGTCATCCCAGTTGATTTCAACAGTTACCAACTTCTGAAATTATATCTAAAGTATATATTCGGTTGGTTTATAAGTTTGATATAACATGACCCTTGGGCATTATTGAAAAGTAAGCCCTCTTCCCTTGGAGGCCCTTGGGCATTTCCCAAGGGAAGCGAGCTTACTTTTCAATAATGCCCACAGGTCACGTTATATCCTACACATAAACAATATGCGTGATACTGAAGGAAATAATTTAGAAAATGTAGCAAATACGCCCA